TGTTCAAAAAATTTTAGCTTTAATATCATTTAAGATATATGGTGATCATCAAAAATTAATAGGACACATATAGTTTAAATCATTGTGCTATTTTGTAATATCCCGTTTCACATCTTAATGAAATGCCTCTTAGTTAAAGCTGGGCTTTATTTTTACTATTATGACGTTTATTTGTTAACAAAAAAGCAATGAGTGGTGGTCTTCTGATGAAATATCGTAATCACTCACTCTCTTTGTTTTTACAGTTGTATTCAGGAGTAATACAACAGTAACCACATGTCTTCGAGCAGTAATTGACAGCGTGCTGTACTAATTGTCGATCTATTTTCATGTTTTTATTCTGAAATTTCATTAGCGCGCCAATTATAAGGTTTTGCAGAAACAATAGCAAAGAAAGCAAAAAGAACAGCGTTATGAAGCGCTATGGCGTCATCTTTATTATTGTTTAGTTAATTCGCCACAAGATGTCGATAAACTACGGTTTTCATTCTACAACTTCTTCCTTCTATAGAAAAAAACTCTACAGACTTGTCGTACTAACAATCACAAGATGCATTGAAAGCCATGATACTTATTCTCTCTGATCCCGAAACAGCCCTCGACACAGCACTGTAGGAGGTGATAAAAAGGTTAAAGAGAGCGTGATAAAATTTAGACCCCGATTTTTGCTTGAACAAAAAAAAATACTGGGGTGATTATCTTTACTACCATACACGAATGACGGCGTTAGAATGCTTCGCAGAAGATTTTCTGATGTATGCTATACGAGAATCCAGTGTGAGGTTATGATGCCCAGTGAGTTGGTTGAATGGAAGGAGTGCATTGAATTTTTCTTGTGCGTAAGAGCTAAAAAATATGCTCATCTGCCTTCCTTCCACCATGTGCAACAAGTCACGTGAATGCTTTTTAAATACATTATATTGTAAATCAATTCCCCTACTGATCGCCTTAGCACAGACAATTTAATTACTGTGTGGTTTGACGCCACGGATCTCCCTCGCTGAGGGATCTCAAGCCGGTTAGTCGCGAGGCTACGTGGCGCGACCCCAGGTGGCGGATAGGGGGTGAATCGCGGACCAAAAGCGACCGTGTACTTGACTTGAGTCGTGGGTGGATTCATAGGATGGACTCCTTGACTCTGCTGTGCTGGTCGACTCATACTTTCTATATGCACATAGCAACATTTATGTATGCGTACGTACTTGT